CCACTCCTTTTCCCATTAGCAAACTAACTTTGAGCTGAAATATCTTGATGTTGGGCTTTTCAATTTAAATATTCTTGATATCATTGGATGCGCCAAGTCTTTCTCTGTCGATTGATACAAAAACTATTTAAATTGGACAGTCCAACACCAAGATACTTGAGCTCAAAGTCGGATTACCAATGGCAAAGGGGCGGGGGCGTATAAAAGATCCGTCGCCCTGCCCCTTTGCCATTAGCAATCTAACTTTAAGCTCAAATATCTTGGTGTTGAAATATCCAATTTAAATAGTTTTTGTACCAATCGATAGAGAAAGACTTGGCGCAACTAATGATATCAATGGTATAAATTGAAAAGCCCAACACCAAGATATTTCAGCTCAAAGTTAGTTTGTTAATGGAAAAAGGGGCGGGACGACGGACCTTTTATACGCGCCCCCGCTCTCTTGCCATTGGCAAGCTAGCTTTGAGCTCAAATTTCTTGATGTTGGGTTGTCCAATTTAAATAGTTTTTATACCAATCGACAGAAAAAGACTTGGTGCATCCAATGATACCAATAATTTTTAAATTGAATAGCCCAACACCAAGAAATTTGAGCTGAAAGTTAGTTTGTTAATGGAAAAAGGAGCGAAGCGCGTATCAAATGTCCCACAATCATTTTTTATCTTTAGCTTTTGATACACTCAAAGAATGAAAGTAGAGTGAAAGTAGATTGGATAAAAACTGGCGGAAAGTTTTGTTTTGTTTTGTAGTTTGTAGTTTACAGTAGTTTTGAAAAATTTTTGAAATCAATTTATGAAATCAATTAACAGCCTCTAAACTTCAAGCTTTTCAGTTACGTATTCTCAAAAGTCATCTAAATATTTGACGTGCAATACCGAAAATGATGTGAATATCCAATTAAACTTTAAAAATTTCCTCAAATTTCTTCATAAAAATATCGCATTCCCGATATCACAAGGGGCTTACGTAATGTAATTTGACTCGTTTTTCTTTCTAATTTGGGTATTTCCCTTTTCTTTTTCTTTTCCTTTTTCATTTCCCACTTGACATTCCCTTTTTATATTTGACTGCTCACAAGGAAAACATTAAATTTTTCTTGAAATTTCTCCTCACTTGAGCTTTTTTTGCTGTTGATGACTCGATTGGGTTAAAGGCTGATTTTGCACGCAAAATGCATAAAAAAAGTCTAGTTTTCAATTTGAAAAGACTCCATAAAGTGGTTTTCCATATTTTTTCCATAAGGATCTCCATAAGGATTTCCATAAAGTAGTTTTCCATACCGTATGCTTAAAGCTTAAATCACCGTACGTATAAGTATCGTAATTGCTCTCTCTTTAAGTTACAGATATCCTATAGGATACTTTAATTCTATAGGATCCTGTAGGGCCTAACTTTTGGTGGTTAAAGGACGAGTCGAAATTAGGACCGATTCTCACTGAAACCAAATTATCGGGTTTTCTTTGATTTTAAGGCATTGAAACTAGTTGCAAAAACCAGAAAATCGCGATTCCGTGGCAGGAAACGCGTATCGCAACTTTGCAACGCTCTAGCAAAAGATTAGAAACTTTTCTGTTTCAAATCCAGAAAACACATTGCAAGAGAAATATTCAATTTGATAATAAAAAAAGAATTAGGTCGATTTGACTCTTCGCTTAAGCTGGAGAATGTGAACTGGGTAATTGTGCGGGTAATTAGCTAGAGAATAGCTGGAGCTGGAGAATAGCTGGAGTTGGAGAATGTGAACTGAGTGCGGGTAATTTTGCGCCATCCTGTAAAAAGCTTGTTACTCTTGTTTAATCTTGTTTAGTCTTTTTTAGTATTGTTACTACACTACTGGACAATTAAATATGATATTTGAAAAACGATCGCTACTTTCGCGCGTCTGTAACTCCCTTGTCTTTACCGTAGTTCTAAATATTAATATTACCATTGTGTAGCCCTTGAAAAGAGCTTTCAGAAAATGTATAATACTAATAGTTTAAACTCAAAGACAAGGGAGTTACAGACGCGCGAAAGTAGCGATCGTTTTTCAAATATGATATTTCATTTTCCAGTAGTGTAGTAACAATACTAAAAAAGACTAAACAAGACTAAACAAGAGTAACAAGCAGGATGGCGCAAAATTACCCGCACTCAGTTCACATTCTCCAGCTCCAGCTATTCTCCAGCTCCAGCTATTCTCCAGCTCCAGCTATTCTCCAACTCCAGCTATTCTCCAGCTCCAGCTATTCTCCAGCTCGTTTTTCAAATATGATATTGTCATTGTCCAGTACTGTATTTGTGTAAATCACAAAAAGTACACAAATCCTTAAAGATCGATTCATTCATCGTTTCAGAACACAAAACATTACCCCAAATATTACATTACAGCTGTTTTTTTCAAAAGATACTCAGTCAATAAGCGGAAAATCATGGCTCTTTTCACAATGAAACAAAAGAACCAAAGAATCATTTCACTAATTGTTTTGTCACGAAAAGAATTTGTGGTGATTGAGCCTTTCATTGGAACACATTTCTTTTTTTTCGATTCTTCAAGTAAATAGCGATGGGATTAACCTTGTTTTTTCCCATTTTCAATTCGAAATTTCAAATTTAACTCGTTGATTCTCGAAAAATAAACCTTAGAGGCCAAAATTATAATATTTTACTTTATTAAAATATGAAGCTAAAATTTTAGCACCTTAAACTTAAAGATTCTTTTTTAAACCCCCATTTTTTCTCATCCAAAACTCTCATTGATCATTCTAATCACGCACAACTTTTTTTTTAGGGTTATTCTGTTGGTTTTCAAGAATGTTTTTTTGGTTATTTGAATAAATTTAAATTGAGAGCTTTTTCTTTTCTATAGAAGAAGCTTTATATAGAAGCTGAAATCTAGTAGAAGCTGATATCTAGTAGAAGCTGAAATCTAGTAGAAGCTGAATTCTAGTAGAAGCTGAATTCTAGTAGAAGCTGAATTCTAGTAGAAGCTGAATTCTAGTAGAAGCTGAATTCTAGTAGAAGCTGAATTCTAGTAGAAGCTGAAATCTAGTAGAAGCTGAAATCTAGTAGAAGCTGAATTCTAGTAGAAGCTGAATCTAGTAGAAGCTGAAATCTAGCAGAAGCTGAAATCTAGTAGAAGCTGAAAAATGATGTCTAAAGTTTCTAATAAAGTTTAGAAACAAAGTAAGAAGTAGCGAAAGAAATAATCGAGTTCAATGGCAGAATTTTCATCATTTCTATGTCTATTTTATTCTAGTGTATAACAATTCTTTATAGTGAAAATATTCAGCTAATTGTAATAACAAGTTGTAACAGACAATTTCCGCCAACATTCCCCAATTTTACGTGCTTATCTTAATCCTCAATCCTCAAAATTCCAAACAAACACCACCGAAGAATGTATCGGTATTTCTTGCTCGACGCAAATGAATTTTTCATTCAATAACTTTTTTGCAAACCGGGTATTTTTCGGGGTAAAGTGTTGACTGAAAAAAAAAACGGAGAATTTTTGATGCGAAAGGGGAAAAGGAAAGGCGAAATTCTTCTCTCGGTCGAGTAGTTCCGGATTGAAATATTTCAGGAAAGATTTACCCATAAAAAGTGCTCAGTTATAATCCGTTTCATGCAACAGTTTCATTAGCCGGGCAAATCCCAGGACTTTTGTCAGCGGGACCAGCAAAGCCAGATCAGCCATCTTTTCTCCAGTCAGGTCAGGCTTCGCACATCCCATACGAGTTCAATTTGAAAGCATAATGCTTCACATTTGCATATTTGCACAGCTCCATAATCTGATCCCAATTTCCACTAATGCTTCACTTTTGCACAACTCCATATTCTTTTTTTGCACAACTCCATATTCTGATCCCAATTTCCACTACAAATCCACTTCCATTTCCGTCAATTTTCCCCATTTTCCCATCACTGTACGCAAATCGAAAAAGAAAAGTCTGGAATTTACATCCTCTTTTGCTTTTTTTGAGTGTGAAAATCTAAAGTTCACTCCAAAAAAATTATTTAGTAAAGAAAGCTTCATCTCCCGTAGTGCTAGATTATTTCTGAAAATCCCATTCTCAGCGCAAGTGCAAGAAGAAGCACAGTACATAATGAGAATCGGATATTCTAATGAACTTGGCCACCCGCTGATTCCCTGGCAAACTTTTGAGCATCGCATCCTCGTTAGTGGTTAGTGTCCGTGTCTGTCACACACGGGTTCAATTCCCTTTTTTAGTTTTTTTGGTCTCAATATTGACAGAAAAGCACAAAGTGATAAGGTATGCCAGTTAGGGTGCGTTTAAGAGCCATCCATCTATACTTTAGAACAACTGCTGTTGGACAAGTGAACTTGATTTCTTCAGAACCAGAACTTCAGCACCGAAAAACCAGGTCCTGGCCTGGTCCTGCTTTGTCTGATTTGGCTTTGTTAGCCTGTTAGCCTTTGTTAGTCTACAGAAACCAAGCTTGGCCCACAAAGAGTTTTGATTCTGGGCCTGTTTTTGGTTAGACTCATCCCTTTCCTGGCTTCTGGCTCTAAATCCCGTTGAATCATGACTGCTTGATTAGTATTAGTGCCTTAATTGTCCCATTCCCAATTCCCCATCCACCCACTCTCTTTTTTCTTTCCCCCATTTTCCAGGTTCAAAAATGACTCTCCCCATGCTCGTACTTTTCCCACGTTCATTCAATGTTTTATTGACTACTCTTCTTGATGACACAACATTCACGAGACAGCCCATCCATACATATTTTCTTCTGATAAACAAAAGAAAACACACGAAATTTCCTCATTTTCACAATGGATCCAATTACGGCTCTTGTTTTGTGTGTCAGAGGGTAAAATGGGGCCATTTCTGATAGTAGAATCGTCACTATTTTTAGTCTATAAACGTCAAATATGTCAAAAGAATTTTTTTTTGGCTAATACATTGGCTAATAGATCTATAAATATGAAAAGTTATACCTGATTCTATAAATGTTTTGTTTTTTCTTCAAATTCCCCCAATTTTCTATATCATTTTCAGCATGGGCATCTTCTCGGGAAAGAAAATTCGCTGGAATCATTTCGGCAAGAAATACAATTTGCGAATCTCCGAATACGAATGGGATTACTCCGATATTTTTGATGTAAGCTTGGAAAAATAAGGAGATGAAACCGATTTCGTTCAAAACTTGAAATTGCTAAAAACTTTTCCTAAAAAGCGCTAACTTTGTAAATATCACTTTTGAAGGAAAATTTCAGCTGAAATTTGGGTTTTTATAAATTGACAAGCTTGAATATCTTTTATTTCAGCTAAAAATCAAAAGAAATTCAGTTATCTTCGACTTTTTATGTTTTTTCAATGTTAACTTTAAAAAACTCTATCTTAGTCACAGGAAAAATGGATTTTAACATTAATTTAAAGGTTTTTAGCTATTTTAAATGAAATCACTATTGTTAAAATATCTAATTTTGTAAGTTTTTCAAATTTGAAACGCGAATTTTCAATTCTAGGCGCTGATGAAGAAAATCTACGAGGAGAGGTCGGATTTTGATGGAACTCTGGCTTACATTGACATTTATGGAAGACAGGTAATTTAAAAAAACAAAATGAAAACTACTGTACAAATCTAAGGAATAACTTTTAGTTTCTATTTCCACAATCAAATTTTTCAGTCAATCATCAAAGACGATAAATCTCTGCGTGATGCGTTTACGGAAAGCAAAGGGAAATTGAAGGTAAAGATTGGAAGATAGATACTTTTTTGGTAAAGATACGTAAAGATACTTTTTTGCTTGAAAATATTAAGTTTTGTAACGGTCCAGGCAATGAACTTTGCTTTCGTTGTTTCCATCCAACTCCCCTAACCACCATACAGTTAGTTTTGGCCTTCATTGTGGTCCGGCTACGAAAAGTTTCGAATTCTCCACTCAGCTCCCAAATGGAAATAGATTTCTTGCTCATTCCAAAGAGAAACACAAAATTTATCGCGTAAAACAATAATTCTAATTAATCTGACAAAAAGAAATGATTTGAAAATGAAAAAGAAACGACAACGCGGCGCTCCCGTCGACTACCTCCAAATGGCGGCGACGTCAATTGGAATGCGACGTCGCGCGAAAATTCCCATTTAAAATTTGCGACAGAAATTCAAAACGTCTCGAAAAACACTTTTTTCTCTTTGTCATTCTCTACTATTATATATTTATTATTAAGTTTAAAATTATTAAGAATTGTTCTAATTTATAGCCTAAATTTCTCATTTTTGCTAATTTCCAGCTTCACACGACTCTCCCCGAGGGTGCCGTCATTTCGGCAGCCGATATTGCGGGAAGATCGATGAGATCACAGAGTGTTCCACCTGTTGTTGTGAGTTTAAATTTTGAAATTTGCAACGAAACTATATGCAAGGTTTTATATGCAATTTCACGTTAGAATTTGTTCATGTTAGAATTTCGTTATTTTCTTGTTAATTTTCGTTACAAACAGCCAATATTTTCGGGCGTATTTTATGCTCACAAATTTTATGACAAGGGAGGTCAACTGACCGAGCCGGCCAAATCACAAATCACATGTACCATTCGACGCAGAATTTCACGCTGATTCCGAAACTGCTTTCCGTTTTTGCTAAACGTTATTCTAGCAGGAGTTATAAGCGTCTAGTTAGGACTCTGAAAATATGGGTTTTTGGGCCTTAGCCGCCTTCTGCGCGGCCTCGGGGCCATCGCGGCCGTGGTCGAGCGGTAGAGCGTCTGTATTCAAGACCAAAGACCTCTGGTTCGAGTCCCCGTATCGGTTTTTCACATCTTTTTTTTCAAGATGTGAAAACTTGCGTTCTTTGCGTGCTCGGACATGGACTTGCTAAAATTCTGGATCGGATGGTACAGGTTGCATGTCATTTGGCCGGCTCAGCCAGTTGCCCTTCCCCTGTGAGAAACGCCGCCTTTCTGGTGTATTCAATCTTTATTCTTCGAAAGATAAATAATTCAGTGCGCCAGAAAGGGTGGGCTTTCACTTTTTAAGCAGAAAAACTCAAATTCTCTAGTCATAGCCAGAAGCTAATCTTGTCTCTGGTTTAGATATCTAGTAAGGCATAAGGCTCTTGGCGGCATGGGATACGTGTCGGTGTAGAACGTTCACTGGTAGAACGTTCGCCCGGTAAGCTAGAGGTTGCGGGTTCGAATCCCGGCGCTGAACATATTTTGTATTCCCAGTCTCAACCGATAAAGGGACCAACTGTCTCCTCTCGTGTACATACTGAAAGAACTGTTCCCGATAATCAAATTGAGACTTTACTTGAACAACAACAAATCTCCTTCATTTTCTCAATTTCAGGAACGTCAAGTGAATGGATACCAGACCTATCCTGGCTCTCAATCGAGATCTCCATCGTCGCTCGATTCTGCTCCAGCACATCTCGTTTCAAGATATTCACCACCAAGAAATCGGTAAGAGAATGGATTCAGAATGAAAATTGCTAAACTTTCAAACTAGATCCTATAGCTAAAATCTACAATCTATGTGACTGTGAAAGTTGTGTCTTTCCAGCTCGACATCTCCTCAAGAGAACCAGGGAATCGTTCAATCACCCCCATCAACTCTTCCACCAGGAGAAAAGGGAGCACAACTTCAACCATGGCCTGTTGAAGTGAGGAAAGAATTGAGTGGAAATGACTATACATTCAGATCATTCAGTACATTCAGATCTTACATTAGTTATCTAATTAACTAGATATGAAATCATTTCTAACACAAACCCCTTCAGGCTCCCCCACCACCCGGCTACTACAAAGTGACCACCTATCCATCCATGTACAGCCAAAATCTTCTCTATGGTTTGTTTTATCAAGATTTTGTAAGCAGAATTGCTAACTTTCGTATTTGGTCGATGAAAATTAGATATTGACTTGGTCACTGTAACAAATTTTCATGCAATAGTACAAGTGTTTTTTCAGGCATGCCACCGCACAATGGAATGTTATGGCGCTTCTTGGCCAACCCTTTCCCATTCGGATATGGGAAAACGTGGGTTGGACCGAATAAATATCACAGTTTCGGCAATTTTCACGGTTTCTACCCGGGTTACGGTGGCGGAGGAAGGTTGGTGGCGAAAAATCGAACACTCAAAGACTCCAGTAATTTTTGCTCTAGAAAACTAGAGCGCTTTGCGCTTTGCGCTCACTTTTTGGCACACGAATACCCAGAAAGTATAGAGAGTATTTCCCTTTTCCCTTTTGCTTTGAATTGGACAAATTGTGACAAAGAGTGCGCTAAAAGGCGTGCGTTTGCCCAGAGCTCAGAGTACGACATCGAGCTAAAATGATCTTTGACAACGTGCAACTTAAAGCTTTTGATGTGAACAAAAATTTAGTATTCAAAAGAAACTTGATTTCAAAAAGCTCTTTTCAGATATATGCACTCAACCTCGTGGGGACCAATCTTCTAAAATCGAGGAAAAATCACAAAAATTCATCCCATTTTGGTGCTTTTTCTTATTTTTGATCAAAATTTGAAACTTTCAGAAAATCTAGTCATTTTCTTTGTTCATTATCCTTTTTTTTATTCTTTCCCACTCCAATTTTCGAATATCGATTCGCTCAACGTTTCTTTGTCGATTTCATTTCATTTTTTTTCTTTTTCTACTTTTGACTTTTCAACAATTTCGTTTTTCTAAACCTGAAAAATTTATATTGTTTCTTTTTGTAGCACTCGTTTGTACATAATAAAATTGAAAAATTTACACGAAATCGACAAGAAAAAGCACAGTATAGCAAGGTGATAAACGTAGTAAAAATGATTATTGTTAATATTTTGTCGTTTTATATTTGGAACCTAACTGTATTATTTATAGCTGTCTTATTTCTTTGACTATCCGTTTGGTTCAGTCAGTCAGTTGATTCGGTTTGAAACTCATTGTTAGAATATTTCTCTTGCCTTAAACCCCCTCCATATCTGAATATCCTTTTCTTATGTGAACGGGTCAGTTCGTAAATGCAAATTTCTTTGACCTTGTCTTTGAAAAATGACCCGATTTCTTTTAATCCGTTTACCCGTTCTTTGTCATTCATTGTTGTAAAAAGGGGAACGGATGAAGAGAAGGAACAAAACGGATCTCGAAGTTTGTTTTAAAACACATTCTTCATCTAGATTAGAGTTTATTGCTTCGACTAGACGTTGAACATCTAAAATCTACGATTTCTTGATGTTTTATCCAAAACATGTCCCCCTTTTGCCAGTTTATTTAAGACTTTTTCTCAGCTTATTCTTTTCATTCAAAACCAGTTACTAGTGCCAAAATAGTGTTTTGTGTGGTCAAAAAATCTAGTTCTTTTAGAAAATTAGTGCGAATATTTGTTCATTCAAAAGTAAAGTGGGTTCCTCAAGAGTAATGCGTTTTTCAAAGCGCAAACTTGGGGAAAATTACCGTACTTTTAGCGAAAATTATTGCAAAAACTGGCGTGAAAAAAATCACGACCAAGATCACATGCACGAGAAAAAATCAAAATATATATGTCTCCTTTTAAAGATATTCAGCCGTTTAACTGATTTGGTGGTAACTTCCCTTCAAAGGTAAAGATATTCAATTTACTCGAAGTGTAAAGAGGACTACTAGTAGATAATACAAAGAAAATTAAATCAATGCAGGCGAATCAATGTATGTGTGGAAAGGCAACGAAACAAAGTCAACAACATTTCTGGGCCTAAATCCACCTCATTGCGAGTTGTTTTCACAAACTCGATTTACAACATGTCACCGGCCGTTTCCTATTGAATTCAATATAAGCGAAATGAATGGTTCACACAGAGCGCTTGAAATTTAAAATCTTACACGTCAAAACCCGATCAATCGAGAGTCTATTGACCGACTGTGTGTTAGATATTTGATTTCCATTCCATTCTCATGTGTTTTCAATCCAAACGGCAAAGGCAACACACTCACGCCTTAATAATATACAATTTATTTATTAAAAAATACCACTTTAAAACAATAGATAAAGCAAAGAATCGCCTACAACATCAATAAATTTGTGGACTCTTCCAAGGGAATAGAGGCAAGAAAATTGGTCAATTTGGCCGAATTTTTGTTTGCACTTCCGTTTCGGAAAATGCGAGCAACCAAAAATGGGTCAACCTCCAACAGCTCTTTTTCCGCCTGAAAGATTGAAAACTGTAAACAAGAACTTCACACAAAGAACTGACAAAGATCGGAGAGTTGCACAATTTAGATTTCTTGTAAGCAGCAATAGAATTTAAATCTACCGTAAATCAAGCTCAAATCTAGATGTCTTTGAAAACCGAAAACGTATTGAAGCACTTAGGTGACTACAGACAAAAAAGGCGCAAAGATTTATAGAACCCACGAGACCCACTATATTATGATTGGTCAAGATAATAAATAGAAATCTCCGTTAAAATAAAATGATACGCGTATTGGGGAAATAAAAAAAAAATCATGATAGAGAAAACAGCAGGCTAAAGGGGGCAGATGACACAGTGGAGCAAAAATCAAGGAATCATGACTTTGAAACACAAAAACTAACTTAATTTAAAGGCGATCCCGCGATCGAGCGATGAACGGCCGACCGACCCGCTTGAAGCTTGTGAACCATTCTCTAGTTTCATCGCTTCGTTCAACTCTTCGGCTTCTTCGCGGCTGGCTTTCATGTCGGCAAGGACACTAAAATGTCATTGTAAAAGGCTTTAAAACATAAAACTGAGATCAATCGTTAAAAATTACTTCGCAAGTTTGTTCCATTCATCGCTTTTAACGTTGTTGTAGAAGCTTTCATGGAGCTCAAACATGTGCACATTTCCGACACCATCACCCGTTACAATGTATTGTCCTGAACAATTAAGGTTATTTCATGATATGGAACCAGTTGTTAAACTAACCATTTGGTGAAAACGCCAATTTCCTTCCTTGTGATGCATTTCCTTCGTTCTCAAGCGAGAGTCGTGTAATGGGTTCTTCAATGTCCTCATTAAGATTCCACAAACATAACTAAACACGCTTGATTTTAGTTAGTTCGATAAATCCACTCACAGTTCCATCAGCATCAACAGTAGCAAAAACAGCAGGGTGTGTGGGTGACCACTGAGCATCATAAACATATTCCGAATGTGTTTCAAAAGAATAGCGCAGCAGTGGATCCTAGAACGACTAAAGTTCCTTAACCAACGTTTAAATAACCTTGATGCTCCATAATTTGATGCTCCAATCACAAGAAGCGGAGAGGAACAAATGCGAAAAATCGTACTGTCCATTACCAGGAGTTCGATGGAAAGCGACAGAAGAGATTGGAGCAGAATGACCTAAAAGATAGTTAGACCAAATATGTTGATGAATTTTACCTTCAAACACTTGTTGCTCAATAGCTTGATTTGTGGTTGTTCCATGACGACTCACAAGGTAGATCTGGCCATCTTCGGCTCCAACAACAAATGTGTTGAATTCATTTTGGGGAAATGACATTGAAACTACGGAAATCTAAAACTTCAAATAGGTATGTTAACAAATTAACAAACCGTCTTGCTTCCGTTCTTCAACAGCAAGTCTTTGATTTCAACGGGTTGAGCCAGATTATCCACATTCCAACTGCACATTTTTCCATCGCTTGAAATAGAAACCTACAAATAAAAATTACATTTTTAGCGAAAGAAATAAGATACCAAATTATGTGCATTGTGGCTGCCCACAACCTGAAGAGCAAAAATTGGTTGTGTATGCGCGTTGGGCGATAGCTGGGACTAAACAAAAATAATTTTTTTTAACAGCAAAATCAGTGCTTACTCGATTGATTGGGGTCCGTTTATTCACTACACGGTTGTCCCACATGCATATTTGGCCGGTGTAGCAGCCAGCAAGAATGAAATTGGCGTGAAAATGAGCAAACGCGACAGATGTGATCCGAGTAGGTGTATGGAATAGGTAGCTAAACATCACTGTATTAAAACACATTATATAAACATACTCTGATGATTCCTTCTTGAATTTTGTATTGAAAACTGCTACAACTCCTGTTGGATCGCCTGGCTTATCCGCATTGACGCCATATCCAACAGCAAAAAGCTCCGGATTCTAAAGTTATTGTAAAAATTATTTTGCAAAATATGCCATACTCTCTCGGAAAATGTAATAGCCAATACTTCACGCCCATTGGTCCATTTCGTATCTTGAAAACTACGGGAAAACTCCTAAAATTTGCAATATTTATTTAGCTTGAAGCCCGAAGAAATATTTCCATGAACTCACTAATTTCTCCTCTTTTGTTTGGTAGTGCATAGAGTGGTCATTCACAAGATTTTGATCGAAATCTCTCTAAACCAATGTTAATTAGGAAACTTCTTAAAAAAAACCTTCTCCGACAAAGCTCGTTCCAACATTCTTGAGCCTTGATCAAAGAATTCCTAAACAAAACGAATGTATGTGAAAAGGAAACAAAACAAACCAAGAACCCAATGGTCTTCATAACCTGTTGCTTTTCCTGTTCAGAGTAATCGGGAAGCTTTGGCTTCTCTTCTTCAACTTCTTTCTTCTCAGCCTAAAAAATATATGGTTAGCAACATCCTCAACAAGCTGATACCTCATGTGATGTTCCACGTTTGAACTTGAATCCCGGCTCGATTTCATCAGTTAGAGACCTAAAATGAACTCTGTTAAATTCAAAGTCATCAGCTGCACAATCTCAAGTTAGGATCTGAACATAAAGGGTTACATGGTAAGAAAAAATGTTTATATGGAGAAGCATAATCGCAATGAGAACATCTAGGTTTTACTTTTGTTTCTCAGCTTGAGCATTTGGCTAAAAGTGTGCTTTATTGCCACTGTGCTTGCTAAACTGAAAGTGTCACGGGAAACAATGCGTGCAATGCGCTCACCCGGAGCTCACACTCCATCTAACCGATGGAGTGTCCGATAGTGGCTGTAATAGAAGTTATTTTTATGGCATAGACCAAAAACACCGAAAACATTGATTGTTTCTGTTTAGTTTAATCTTTTAATGTTGCAGTTAAGAGCACACAAAACTCACATGTCATCTATGTATGGCTTGCGTGAATGGTCCATATCCTCTTCTCCTTCCCAAGCAAACTCTTGACTTCCCATTAAAAACTCGCCAGCCGATACTCTTTCGTCATCCGTTTGAGTTGTCTTGCAATAGATTGTCTAAATGAAACAGGTAAAAAAAAGTTATTTGAGAAAACTAACCGTGTCTTTTTGTGGCACGATGATGCTCTTCGGCTCGGTGAGCTCCAAATTGACAACACGAGACATCGATGAAGTGACGGTTTGTGAGAGATGGCTTTGTGGAACACCATTCTCCTAAAACCAAAAATTTTTTTTAAAAAATGCGCGACAAAGCCTAACCTGTAGCTTTGGCTCCGTGGTAGCATTTTTGTTTGACGAGTCGGGCTCACCGGGAATTCCGACATCAGCCAATATCTCTGCTAATTCCAGACTTGATAGGGTTGGCCTTTCGCCGGCTGATCCTAAAATACAAATAGCATAGCTGTGTAATATCATTTACTGGCAACAAATTTTGGTTTTTTTGACATTTTGACATTTTAATATAGTCATGCTTCCCAAAACCAAGAGTTGATATTTTAGTCGTTTTCATCTACGGATATAAGGAAACAATTACAACAAACGACAAATCTATTGGTAGTCAACTTACTTGAGAGCCACCAATTATTAACTGCAAAAATGCTTTACTCAATGTTTTTTAACGCTCAATGAGCCCTATTCAACAAAAAAATCTCACCATTCCCATTTTGTTGAAGATTTTGTGGCAGCATCGACCTTCGCCTTTCCTCATCTAGCCGTCTTCTAAAATAACAAAATAACAAAATTACAAAAACATTCCCAACTTCGACTCCCTCATTTCGGCCAGCTTTTGCTTCTTTCGCTCGAGCTCGAGCCTTCGTTCTTCATTATTCATCCTAAACTATGAAATAGAATCGGACAGAAATAATTGCACAAAACATTTAAAGAATGTTAACAATAAAGATAATGTGGCGAAATCGCAGTGTGAGAAAGCACAAATGTTTGTTTGCTGTGAGAAAGAACGATGTGTTACCGTAATACCTGTAATAGTAGCGCCCCCCATAATGACGGGGTATTGCCGCGTAGTCTAACTTTACACGCTCCGTTCGCCGCGTTGTTTTATGCTACAGTGTGCGCTTGGGTGTCAAATGATAACCCTAGAAATCTAGTATTTTTTGGTATCAAAAGTGTAGTTGGGAAGAATCTAGGGGCTGAGAAAAAAAATTATTTTCTAAAAGAAATTTAGACTACGCGACTTCTTTTATTTTTTTTTTATTTTGCTCCAATTTGATCAGAAACATAATCAGTAGGTTAAATTATGCCAGAAGAAATGTTTTGGTTTCAAAAAATGTTTTGAGAGACCATTTTTTGGACCTCTTCCCTATGTGTGTCACTCTCATCACACTGTGTGAGCGCGCACTTTGGAGCTCCGAAATTCGGCTTAAAACGCATTTTTCCAAGCTCTCGTTGTATTTTTCGGAATCTACACATAAAACTACCCCAGAAAAAGTGGTTTTGAAGAAAAAAAAGTGCCCCCAACCTTAATCGCGCCTAACAGGGTAATTTTCAACGTGTCGAAATGTCGGTTTTTCAGTTGAAAACCTATGCTAAAACTGTCAAATTCGTGCTCAACACCCTCGATTACCCCTAGAAAAATGAAAAAAGCAAAAATAATAAAAAACAAAAATGCTCCCACCCCCCCAACCCACAAAGTACCAAGAAGTTAGACTACGCGACTGTACGGAAGGGAGCGCTACTATTACAAGTAATACGGTAGCAAAAGTGCCGCGTTTTTTGCGCCAATTTCATTTGCACGCTTATGAAAATCACTGTAACAAATCACTTTTTCCCAACTAATAGCCAACGTTTTTTTTCAGTTTTCTGTTTCACAATTTCAATTCATACTGTTTTCAACCAAAAAACACGTTTAAATACCTATACAGACCTCTAAGACAGTCATTTTTGCGTCCCAGATTGAGCTTTTTACTCTCTATATCGATCTTATGCCATTTTCAAAGCCAGTGCGGGCGTCAAAGTAGCGAACATCGTCGACAAAGAAAAACTGAAAAAATATAAATGGTCAATCAGAGTTGCTAGGAAGTGTGTTGAAAAGCGCAAATTTGGCACAAATGATACGCGACGGAAAAAAGCAGTTTAGCAAGTTGACGCGTACTTTGTGCTCCGACACAAACGCTTGCTCTCTGGCACAAGCATAAACAACTTTTGAAAACACCCGTAGTAAAAATGATTATTGTTAATATTTTGTCGTTTTATATTTGGAACCTAACTGTATTATTTATAATTGTCTTATTTCTTTGACTTATACTATCCGATTGGTTCAGTCAGTCAGTTGATTCGATTTGAAAGTTTGAACCTCATTGTTAGAATATTTCTCTTGCCTTAAACCCCCTCCATATCTGAATATCCTTTTCTTATGTGAACGGGTCAGTTCGTAAATGCAAATTTCTTTGACCTTGTCTTTGAAAAGTGACCCGATTTCTTTTAATCCGTTTACCCGTTCTTTGTCATTCATTGTTGTAAAAAGGGGAACGGATGAAGAGAAGGAACAAAACGGATCTCGAAGTTTGTTTTAAAACACATTCTTCATCTAGATTAGAGTTTATTGCTTCGACTAGACGTTGAACATCTAAAATCTACGATTTCTTGATGTTTTTATCCAAAACATGTCCCCCTTTTGCCAGTTTATTTAAGACTTTTTCTCATCTTATTCTTTTCATTCAAAACCAGTTACTAGTGCCAAAATAGTGTTTTGTGTGGTCAAAAAATCTAGTTCTTTTAGAAAATTAGTGCAAATATTTGTTCTTCAAAAGTAGCTCTAGGGAAAAGGAAATTAGTCACTTATGAATATCCAGCTGAAAAAACTTTTGTAGAAGGTTATCAAGAGGTTTTAATACACTTTTTGAAAATCTTACGGTCAACGGTTAATTCTCTTCAGACCTTTTACTTGACAAATTTCAAAGAATAATTTTTCCTCGAATTCCTTTCTAAAAGTAGGACATTTTTTTGAAAGAATCCTTCGTCTTTCCCTTTTTTTCTTCTTTCTTTTGTCACAGTTTTCTTTTCTTTTATTGCTTACCAACCGTTTAAGGATGAAACGATTTGAGAACAAAAAGAGAAAAGAAAGAAATATCCAGGGCTAACAATTATGAAAGGCTCTTTTTGACGAAATGGGATCATATTGAATAGTTTGGAGGATTTGTTTCTTCTTTCTAACTTTCTAACTTTCTAACTAACTTTTTTTTTTAAAAATAACTTGTTCTTGAGCAATAGCTATAGTTAATTTCCACTCTTTTACTTACAAAATTTGATTTGAAGTAAAAATTAGAGATTAGTTGATTGGTCTATGTTTAGGTTGGCATTTTTATTGGCAAAAGTTTTAAATGGCGTTTAAATTTTGTAAAATTTTATTTTATTTACTTTACATTATATCGACTGACAAATGATTACAGGAAAATCAATTTTTGAAGTCAATTCTTTTAAAGCAAAGCAAAGCAAATAATTTCTTGAGAAAATGAAATGAAAACCCTCGATCTGATCACATTTCTATCGATAATCGTAAAGGTTTGTTTATCTTTTAATTAAATGAATCTTCAAGCTAAAGGAGTTCAAGGTTTTAGGTAATAATAGCCGAGCATATTCTCCATGAAACGATTGTCCCATTGAATCCGGCCAAATTGTCGACAAGTCGCTTTTTGGATGTGCGACGATCTCCCGTTAAACGAAGAAATCCACCAGTGTTTGGTGAGTGAGAAAATGTTTTAAACGCTAAAGAAAAATAAATTATTGGGTTGGTGAATTGAAAACTGCCGGACTTTGGACTAAAATTTATTCAACATAAAACCATGAATTCATTCCAAATAATTTCCATTATTATTGACGACTTCTGCCCATTTTACAGGCAATTTGCGGATTCCTCTTTCGTAGTAGGATTTTGGTTTGTGTGTGAGACAAGTGTGAGACTCAAAAATGGAGGACTGGAGATGTCCCAGTTTGTCCAGTTTAAGCACTTTCTTCAAAAGAAACCCATTTTGGTGTCAATAGAAAAGTTGTAGAGAATCAAAAATTAGGCTTATAGCCAAATTTCCAAAAAGATACACTTAGTAGTTTCGCTTAAAATGCAAGTCTTGTGAAAATTCGTAAATTTGGCATTTCTTGAAAGACAGTTTTTGAATCGTTCTGAAAATTTGGATATAAGCTGGGTTTTTGATTCTCTACAACTTTTCCATTGACACCAAAATGGGTTTCTTTTGAAGAAAGTGCTCAAACTGTCACATACGACAATCGCCCGCAGTTTTCAATTCACCAACCCAATATATTTTAAAAAATAAACAATTTCAGCTTCACCACGAGCGATTTGCGGGAAAAATCATATCGGAATCGTGCTGAGCTCGCCGTTTTCTGGTCGAATTTTCACATCACATCGAGACGATTTCACCGAATGCTCCAAGCTTTTTCATGGGGTGAAGAGATTTATTTATCCAAAGCTTTTCTAAAAGGTGCGCTTGGAAAAAAATTACTGTACTCCGGAACTATGATACCGTATTTACTCGAATAGAAGACCGGTCTTCTATTTTTTTTTTCTATTGGCCCCTAGACCCGGTCTTCTATTCGAGGATGGTCTTCTATACCTGAGGGCTTGGTCAGGTCGTGAGCGATTACGCGACCGCACAGAGAACACCTCGGCAGTCATTTACACAGTGATTTTTCTTTTGTGCTGTAAATGTTCTCAAAGATTTTGTGTTTAAAATTTATGCCCCGGGGTTTTCAGGATCCATTGGCAAAGTCTATCTCAAATCTATTGGCAAAGTTTATTTGAACCCTTTGTCGCAAGAAAAGTCTCAAGAGAATCGAATTGGCTTTGGGTTTTGCATATGATAGTTTTTCACAATGGAAAGACCTACCGTAAATACTGTAATAGTACCCCACCCCCATAATGACGGTGCGGAGTGTTGCGTAGTCTAGCTTTGAACGAGTTTTTCTCGACACTGGTTTATGCTACAATGCGCACTTAGGTATCAAAAAATAGCCCGGAATTTCAGCTATTTTTTGATAGCAAAGACGCATTTTTTGAAAGTACGCGCGCTTTGAAAAAAATGAAATACTAAAAAACTACGCGACTGTACGATGGGGGTGGGGTCCAATTACAGTATTTACGGTAGATTTCCGAGAAGAACCTAAAATTTCATACAAATTTCTATTTCTAGGCAACATCGGCTCGATTAACATTGGGTTTAAATGATACAAAATGTGGAGTGAGAAGAACGCAAATTGTAAGTTTTTATCAAGAGAAGGTAAAAGAGAAAGAGAAAGTTTTTTTTTCAGAATTCCCCTCAATCGACAATTGTCTATGATCTCCGAGTGATTGTTTCTTTCGATTTCTCTCGTTTAACCGAAGATGATCGAATTTTCGATTTGAAATGCGTTCATTCAAATCAAAATATTCTCAGTCTTGATGCGTTTTATGATGCAAAGTTCGAATTTTTAAAGGAGATATTATTAAAAAACGGTTTACAAGAACATTGTTTTTATTTTAGGGATGTTTTCTCGAAAGAACTTCTTTCATCAAGTGATTCTCCGCATTGTGAATATTCCCTTCATCTCAATTCACTTAATGGAGGAACAACAACGAATGCGAAAATTGGAGATATGGTAAGACATAGACCTGCTTAACAAGTCCGGGCAAAATTTTCAGACAGTCTCTCTCGCTCTTCTATTTTTTTACTGCCCATAGCTCCTTCGAGCATGAAACCCAGTCCCCCCGCAAGCCATTATTTTAGGCTTCATTTTGATACTAAACATGGCTACGTTCTGTTTTGCCATTCTTTAGGTATTTCGATCATTTTAGATAAAAATCTTTTTAGACTCATTAAGCTTATCGAGTCCGGCGAAAGATTGATCGAAATCTAAAGAATGGCAAAACAGAACCTAGCCATGTTTAGTATCAAAATGAAGCCTAGAATAAGGGCTTGCAGGGGAAATGGGTTTCATGCTCGACGGAGCTTTGGGTAGTAAAAAAATCGAAGAGCGATACAGGCTGTCTGAAAATTTTGCCCGGGCTCGTTAAGCAGGTCTAGTAAGACACATTGAAAACTAAAAACTTTCATTTTCCGATCTACCACAAATGGAAATGCTCATCATCGAAAAATTTTCATTTTCGTGTCTATCGTTGTTTTGTTCACAATGGAGATAAACAATCATTCATGTTGATCGATGAAAAAGGGTTTGTTCAAAGGGTTGAGCGATTATGTTCAGAGGTTTTATAACTTTTATAACATTTTACCAGCGAAAAACGCTCACTAACGTTCGCGTTTTTCACGCAATCTAAGCCCCGCCCCTTTTTTCCCGTGATTACGGAGCGTCGCGACGCTCCGTAATTTTTTGTAGAGTTGAGCAAATTTGATGATTTTTGCATCAAAATGTTCGTAAGAGTCTCTAGAATAAAATTTATCCCCTCGTTTTTGGTTCTAGACCCTCGTTGTCGAGTTACGAGCCCCAAACTGCAGGGTAACACAAAATTTCCCATGCAAAATGACCAAAAACCGCTAAAACTAAATTTAAAAAATTTCTGTCAGAGGGATTTGAAAAATTCCTTCAGATTCGGAATCAGCACAATTTTCCACATCTAAAAAAGGTACTCCCAGAAAAGTCCGATAGAAAACGCATTTTTGCCTTATTTCGCGCCGATGTGCGACATGTCATTCTAGTTTCTAACGAATTCTAAATTTTTGATTCATGTGGACCCATGTGGTCTTACCGACTTATTGGATCGGTCGATTTTGAAGGGTTGAAAAATAGAAAGACATGTGCCGATGTGCGTCGATGTGCGTCGCGTTTACGCACAGACAGACGGACGGACAGACGTCTCTTCTGCTTTAGATATAGTAGATAACTTTTCCCATTAACTTTCAATAATTTCAGTTGCTCACTTGATGAGGAAATTCTACCGCATCCAAAATATGATCAAGAAAATCAAAGCATTTGGACACCAAGCAAAGCTTTTCGATTCTCAAAGTTTGTTTGTTTTACCGGAAGCATTCAAATTTTGTTTTCAGAACTCACCGTGTTCACTTCAATTGTTTATTGCAAGTTTGTTCGATAAATGACATCGAATGCATGAAAAGAATTGTAGGTTTTGAGATTAGAAAGATTAAAGATTGGAAAGATTAAAGATTGGAAAGATTAAAGATTAGAAATTGTGGTAAGAGTGCAGTTTACTCCCCCCAAGAAAAATTTTCGAAAACCGGGAGTGGGACAAATGCGACCTTTTTTTTGCGCACCTTTTTTTCCGCACCTTGCCCATTAGCGCACCTTTTTTCGCGTTTTAAAAAGCTCTAAAAGCTAATATTAACCAATTTCTATTCCAAAAGTTGTTTTTCTAGGTAATTTTAGGGCGTAGAATCAAAATTTTGGCATATCAGAGCTTGTGGAAGCGAACGGACGGAGTTATGCAAAGAGAAAAATCGACAATTTTCTGTAATTTGAACTAGCCGTTTGCCTTCCACAAATTGGTTCTACAAGCTCTGCTATATCAAAATTTGAATTCGACACCCTCAAATTACCTAGAAAAACAACATTTGGAATAGAAATTGGTTAATATTAGCTTTTTAGAGCTTTTTTAAAACGCGAAAAAAGGTGCTCTAATGGGCAAGGTGCGCAAAAAAAGGTGCGCAAAAAGAAGGTCGCATTTGTCCCACTCCCATAAACTCTAATCTAGATCAAGAATGTTATCTCTTTCGGTTCCAAAAAGACATAAAATAACTATTGAAAGTCGTTTGCAAAAATATTTTGAAAAACAAAAGCAAAACGATAAGTGTTATATAGCATTTTAAAGCTCTTGATTTCCTCTTTTAAATGATATAAAAAATAACTTTAGTCTTCTATAATTCTATAGTTTTTCATGGCTCTGAAAAGTACTCAAATTAGGCCGTTTTTTTGTGAATGTTTTGTATTTTCCTCTCAAGTGTTAGCTGATTTTGAAACCAATGCTATTTTATGAAGAAAATTGCTCTCATGTACTTTGTGCTCCAAATTGTAAACGCACTCTTTTTGGTGCAATCGATTTCCTCCATGAAATTCATATCGATTCTCAAAGTTTAGCCTCCACATTGTCCACGAACGCATCACAAGAGAAATTTGGCCGAAAATTTGTCGATCGAGGAGAGATTGCTGAGGATTCATGCAGCATTGAATGGTAGGGAAAAGGCTTAAAAATAGAAATCTCTTTGATTCTATGAATAATCCTTGACAAGTTAAATCTTATCTTAAAGAAGGGGTCCGAATTAGAACCAATTGATCTCAGACCTTCTTGATCTTCTTGATATTAGTATTGGTGACAGCGGTCGCTTTACCACCACGTCCGGGGTGATCAGAATTTCATTCTAACTATTGAAACGATTTGATCGCGTTGTAAACAAGTTGTTTTACGTCTCATCAATCGCCAAGAACGCCACGCTCGTGTAGGTGATCGCATCTCGGTACACTCACTTCTTGGTCATTCTAAAAAGATACCAAAAACAGATTTTTTGAGAAAAAATAGTAATTAAATAGTTAAATAAATAAAATAAACGAAAAGAAAGAGAAAAACAATCTATATATAAGCAAAAATATGCAATATCAAAGATATTCCTAGTCCCTGTAACTGGACAACCTTGTACAGTGCGGTGCAAAACCATACGCCACCCCCTAAATTTCAATTTTCTGCGGCTTCCGTGCCAGTGACAAAAAAAAAACTAAAAACGTAGTTAGATTCAGGACCAAAAATAGCCCTTAAACCCCAAAAATCATCGAAATAGCATGAATAGGGAATAAAATGTACCCTAAAGTCGCGAGTATAAGTTCTGTTTGGTTTTCGCCTGCAAATTGACGGCTGTCTCCGGTGCGGTGTGTCGAGGGTTCGAACCCCGCTGCAGCATAACTTTTTTGCTTTTTAAGAACAATAATAGAAGTAAATTTATTGAGGGTTATAGCAATTTTATGCTGTTATTTGTTGCTCCGGGCGTGGCTCGGCGCGTCCGCCCTGCTCCTCTCCGGTGCTCAGTCTTATGGATCCCTCCCTGGCCTCTTCATCCGGCCAAAGTCCACGTCGACGGTCGAAAGAGATGCTTTCCAGTGTCTTCTTCAACACTATCGTCTGGATGTATCCATGCACATAACAAATAGCAATGCTGATAGGCTGTCACCCTGTAGTATCCCGCGCTCCAAGAACAATAATAAAAGTTTATATAACAATAAAAATGTATAAAAACCCAACAAAAAGAAATTCAAAGCAATTAAAGCGAATGTAAATTAAGACAGAACTTATACTCGAGACTTTAGGGTAACAGCCAAAAAACGAAAATTCGCCCGGTGCAAAACCCCCAAATTTTGGTGTCATTTCATACTTTTTTTTTCTAGTTTAAAAGCTAAATCTACTCCTGGCAAACATAAGTCTCGCCCTTTCACTTCAGATTCGTTATAAGGAGGCCTAAAGAGCTTACTTTGTCTTACTTCAACTTTTAAAAAAAACGTAGTATTAAGGGACAAAACTCTCAACTCGGATCGCATTATTCTTTCCAAATTGGCTGCTGTTTAAGTGACACAATGCTTTTATAGAATTTCGAACTTGCAACAGAAATACAATCAAATTTAAGGTAAAAAGTAATCAAAAAAAGAGCAGGGCCCTATACCAGAGGGGAATGCCAGATGGCGAGCGATCGTGCGCGCGCATAAAGAACACTTCGCCAGTCATTTACGCCAGTCTCTTTTGCATTGTAGATTTTACAAAAAGAAGAAATGTAAATGTAAATTTATGCAAAAATTCATGATATTAACACCTACCGTAAATACTGTAGTAAATACGTAAATACCGTAAATAATAGTACCCCGCCCCCCTCGTACAGTCGCGTAGTCGCAAAAGTTTTTTAGTATTTCATTTTTTCAAAGCGCCCATACTTTCAAAAAATGCGTCTTTAGTATCAAAAAATAGCTGAAATTCGGGGCTATTTTTTGATACCAAAGCGCGCATTGTAGCATAAACCAGTGTCGAGAAAAACTCGTTCAAAGCTAGACTACGCAACACTCCGCACCGTCATTATGGGGGTGGGGTACTATTACAGTATTTACGGTACCTGTCGATACTTTGATTTTAGTGAGAATCGGTTCTAATTCGGATTCCACAAAGCTAAAAGTGGTTCTGAGTTTTCAGGTTTAAATCACACAACAATCACCCCAATTGAACCACTGAAATTGGAGAGTTCATCGCTGAGAATCGTTGATCCGAATGAGGAATTTGGTGAGTGGAAAACGAAAAGAAATCTATCGAAAAGTCTAATCTCAATGTTCTCCATTTCAGTCTCATCTCATTCACTTTCCACCAAATATTGCCTTTCATTGATGGGCAATTGGTTGATCGGATTGCTGATCACGAATTGTTTCTCCATTTCTATCGCTTCACTCGCGTGTCATCGTTTATTCAAGAATCGATATCGGCTAGAGATCACAAAAGAAACAGCACAAAATCGGGGATTGAGAAGAATGAAAAGTGATTATTAGTTATCATTGGTATTGTACATTCTAAAGAAATAAAATATGCATTAACAAGCACATCTTTACTATATTTTGTGTTCAAAAAGGGTAAACAAACCTCTAACGCATTGAATTACTCATTTTCTCTGCAAATCTCAATTTTCTTTTAGTAAAGATAGAGCAGAGTCGTAAATGGACTATGATACTTGAAGACTTAACTTATTTAACAATAGAATCATTGACAATAGTTTCTATTTAACAATAGAATCATTGACTTAACTAAAATAAAGAATTCAGTGCACCAGAAAGGTTGGTTTTACAATTTTTGAGCAGTACACTCATCGGAAAAGTATCCTTGCTCAACTCTAACACTCAAAGCTACGTCAAAAAACAAATAACATTGAAAAAGAATGCCTGAAAAGCTTTACATTAGCAAAAGTTAAAACTTTCTTCAAGTTTAAGTTTAAGTTTTACTTTAAAAGTAAATCCAATTTCCATTTAAAGATCCAGAATAAATTTTTTCCAAAAAAAAAAGAACTTCTTCAACATTTTCAACATTTTCAACATTTTCTACGTCTTTTTTTTCTAAAATCGGTTGACTTTTAAAGGCCAACCGATTTCTATTGACATTAACATTCTATTGACCGATTTCTGTCGACATTGACATTCTATTGACCGATTTCTATTGACATTTCTACTGAAAATCGATGTTAAACAAAATTTAGCTTAAAATTGTAAATGTTTCTCGGAAAAGCGATGTTGAGAGCACAAGAGAAAGGATTTGTGGATATTCAAGTGGGATTTCATATAAAATAAAAATATCCATCTTTCTGGAGTACCGTAATCCAGAAACCGGCTGTCTTAATACCGTAATCGATGGCGTACATTTTGAAAAGTGTATTCTTCTGTTAAAATCTTTCTTAAAGTATGCTAACTTTCGAAAACTACCGTCACCTTGCCTCTAGTTTTTATCCAATCCACAGTACCGGACAGAATAATAACAGCCCCACGCAAAAACCCGATCTTCAAACCCTTTTTTCGGTATGTAACCGTGAGAGTTACCCCCGAACACCATATAGATTCTGAAAGCTCAATTCAAGATCTAGCGAATGGCATATTTTATATTTCAGTTTAGATTAGTTTTTGAAGCATTTCAACCCTTCAAAGGTGACCACTGAAAATTGCATCTTTCAGAGTGAATTTTTCTCTATTAGAGCGGGCTCCAGTCGTTCCTTACCACATTTTTCGAATTCCTTGTTAAACTTTGCTCGAAAAAAAGTGATTCTTAGCCGGTTTTAACAGGTTTTCATCTGCGAAATGACGTCGAAACGTCTCGAAATTGTTTAGCAAGCTCGGCAAGTGATCTTCCTTGACTCTTTTCGGTGATTGAACGCTTGGAGCCCGCTATCATAGAGAAGGATTCATTCTGAAAGATGCAATTTTCAGTGGTCACCTTTGAAGGGTTGAAATGCTTCAAAAACTAATCTAAACTGAAATATAAAATATGCCATTCGCTAGATCTTGAATTGAGCTTTCAGAATCTATATGGTGTTCGGGGGTAACTCTCACGGTTACATACCGAAAAAAGGGTTTGAAGATCGGGTTTTTGCGTGGGGCTGTTATTATTCTGTCCGGTACTGAAAAAAGTCTCTATTTTTTCTGATTCACAAAAGAAAAAGAATACAAAAGTATATGGATTAAAGAAAAAAGCAAGATTATGGTAGTTTTCGTAAGCTGACGTGTTTTAGAAAATGCACTTTTTGAGCTATCCAGTCTAGTTTCGATTTACGGTAACTGGAAATTCTCTTGTCGTTTTTCAAAGGTGATTTTTCCTTTCTTAGGTTATCTCATTCGATGTGATGAACACAATTTTGACTCTTCGTGAACCGCCACATATCGTTTATGCGAGATTCGCTCGACAATATGGATTCTCGGTTTGTGAAAATCATGAGATATTGATTTTGATATAAACTACCGTAAATACTGTAATAGTACGCCACCCCCTCGTACAGTCGCGTAGTCGCAAAAGTTTTTTAGTATTTCATTTTTTTCAAAGCGCCCGTACTTTCAAAAAAATGCGTCTTTGGTATCAAAAAATAGCTGAAATTCAGGACTATTTTTTGATACCAAAGCGCGCATTGTAGCATAAACCAGTGTTGAGAAAAACTCGTTCAAAGCTAGACTACGCAACACTCCGCACCGTCATTATGGGGGTGGGGTACTATTACAGTTATTTACGGTAACTAAATTTTAGCCAGATGAGAGCAAAATGAAAGCGGCTTTTCCTATCGCTTTTTCTTCATTTGCCGATGAATTCCCCGCTTTGGGCACAAAACGATCGGAGCGATGGAATGGTGGGGAAAAGTGATTAAAAGAACGATCTTTGAGGTAAATTGGATTTGACATTCTCCTCAAAATTCCCTTCAGAATCCCCCATGCACATCAAATGATCGGATCTCGGAAATGTGTAAAGCCCTCTTTGCTCACTATGAGAATCCAGCTGAATGGAAAATTGTTGACGAAGAGGTAAATGAGGAGTTGGAATTGGTTTTTCTTTTGGATTTAACCTTTTGCCTCATAACTTTGCATGGATATTATATTTTGAGTTCATTTTGGTATCATTCGACGCGCGATTTTATTCTACATCGAATGATAATCAAAAGAGTCAAAATTCTGCATCGAATGATAATCAAAATAGTTTGAAAAACACGATGAACCTTAAATTACCAACGACAAAAAAGAACCAGACATTTTCGTTACAAGTTTCTTGTGTTTTTTCAGACGATTCCCATTCTGGAGCGTCTCCGTTTAAAGGGAATCCACACGGCTGTCATCTCGAATTTCGATTTTCGTCTTAAGAAATTGCTTGATGTAAGAAATCGGAAAACTTAGGCTTAGGCTCAGGCTTAGGCTTAGGCTTAGGCTTAGGCTCAGGCTTAAGCGAAAAGCTGATGTATTTTAAGCTTTCTATATTTTATCTTTTTCCAGGATTTCCACTTGTCTTCCCTCCTCGAATTGGTCGTTTTGAGTGGTGAAGTGGGCATCGAAAAGCCTAATTCACGAATTTTCGAAGTGAGCTTGGGGAAATTTTAAATTTTGTACACTTTTCAGCTTGTCACCGATCATTTCCACCTCAAATCACCCAAACATTTGCTGCATATCGGTGAGATTTAAGGTTTTTTTAGATAAAAATCGTTTGAGTTCAGCATTTGTTGGTTTTTTGCTTTGTTTTCCTTTGGTTTTTTGTTTTTTTGTTCTTTTTACTGTTTGTTCCTAAACCTTATAGTCAGTAGATTTTCTCATAGCTTTTATGACTTTTATGGCTTTTTATGGCTAAAGTTAATTCAAATTATGTGTAAAAGAAAGAAATATTGAGAAAGAGTTGGGAAGTCTCAAAGTCTCAGCAAAAGTCTCAAAGTTTTTTTACATTTTTATCAAAGATAGCTTTCTGTTTCAAATTTCAGGTGATCACCTGCAAAAAGATTTCCACGGAGCGAGGAATTTCGGAGCAAAATCCCTCCTTTTCGATCCGAAGAATCGACAAAATGATAGCGAATTCTCGCCAGCCGAAAAGATCACAAAAATAGCCGAGATTTTGACTCATGTAGAATAAAGATTTTCGACACAATAAATAGATTAATTAAACATTAAAAAAGTTAGAGAGTGTAAGAAATATATGTTGATGTGCAGTTGGTTCAGTAGTGGTCTTCTTGAAAACGCACAATTTATCCAACTTTCACTTATTAGGGCAACTTCGCTCAAATTAGAGCAACCTGGCACTATCACAATTAATTCAACACTTGCATTTGAAAAAGGGATGATAAAAAGCAAAAAAGGAGAACAAAAACTCACTCAAAAGCAAAGCTTAAAAAACGGGTTTTTTTAGTATACAAGCTACAACAAACGGACAGCTGAATATCATCTAGTGACTGATTACGGTAGTTTATCCATTAACTTTGAATTTTAACTTGTATTGAATTTTTGACTAACTGCAGAGCAGTGGCAATTCGCCACAGAGAGAAACATTAAGCACTTTCCAGCTTTATTAACTTGAAAAACAATAGAGAAAAATGATCACAATGAGACCTCACAATTTTGTATACTCAAAAATCTTTCAACAAGCATCAAAAAGCTCAACGAAAATCCCGACAAAACTCCCCTCGAAATGAATTTTCATTCGAGAAAACTTCAAGAAATGACCAATTTGAATGATCTGTGAATACTGGAGATTCTCATCGTTTTTCCATTTCAAACAATCCGAGAATTCCTTTGGTTCATTTAGAACAAAATGCGTGAGACAAGACCAGAGAATTGATGGGTTTTCCCAAAGAAAAACCCGCTCTTCACGACCCTCAAAAAGAAAGATTATAGCTCACATTTGATTTCTAAAACGTTTCAACTCTTGAAAGAGTAACTTTGAGAAAGATTACGATAGTTTTATATCTTGTTTCTTTTGTAGCTGGCTGCATGTTGTTTCTTTTGTAACTTCTTGCCTATATAGGGTGCTCAGTATTTACGGCGACTTCTTTTTGGTGGCTTCTAAGCGCCAAGTTCAACTCTAATTTGTTAAGTATTATTTAAAATATTAAAGCCCTTAATTTTGGCTACATTTATCTATTAAAAGTTTCCCGATTGGAGATATGCAACTCATTTTACAAGCTATTGAATACAACTCATTTTTACAGTTGATCCCTCTCCAGCACGCTGCCATTTTCGACGATTTTTTTGATTCTAATAAATTCGCAGAGAAAGTTTTTCGATATTTATTTTATGTTAAAATATTATTTAACATCATTTAATAATATTAAGAACTGTTTTTGACCAAATTGTCTTACTCAATTTTGGGTTGAAGTCAAGTTCCCTTGGTGACACAAGGAAAAAAGTGACAATTAAGTATTTTTAGATGTTCAGTTCGTATGTGCTCCTTCTTATATTGCTATAAATTTGTTTTGAAATAATTTTTAGACAAAATACAAGTTTGGCCGAAAGAAACTCTTTCTGATTGAAGAAAATCGTCGAAAATGGCAGCGTGCCGGAGAGGGATCAACTGTAAAATGAGTTGTATTCAATAGCTTGTAAAATGAGTTGTACATCTCCAATCCAAAAACTTTTAATAGATAAATGTAGCCAAAATTAAGGGCTTCAATATATTAAATAATACTTAACAAATTAGAGTTGAACTTGGCGCTTAGGAGCCACCAGAAAGAGGTCGCAGATTCGCTTACAGTAGCTTTTTCTGGGCTCACCTTTTAGAAACCGAAAACAATAGATAACAATAGATTGTTAGGTTAATTTATTAGATTTATTAGTCCAATCTATTGCTACTTACGTATAACCATAAATTATTTACATTTAAATCTAAAACCTGTGAAAGATAAGCCATATAGGTCTCAGGATTGAAGAGAAATTTGCGATATCGAAAAGAATCGGCGAGTTTCCCTGTGAATAGTTTCTAGAAGAGAACGTGTTATTAAAGCATTCATTTTAAACTCTTTTAGAAAATAAAATTGATAAAGCATTGATTTTATCGATTTTATTTTAACTTTTTTGAATTTTGATTGGAAGAAATTCATGATCAAACGCCAAAACAAACCTTAACAAAATCGGCCATCATTTCAAACTCGATAAATACCTCCAAATCAAGAATTTTCGAGTAAAGAAGACTCTGAAATCTTATTGGAGTATAGTTTTTCAAATTCTTGTACAGATTTTGAATAAACTTTGTGAATTTTTCTTTTACTGGGTTGGTGAATTGAAAACTGCGGGCGATTGTCGTATGTGACAGTTTGAGCACTTTCTTCAAAAGAAACCCATTTTGGTGTCAATGGAAAAGTTGTAGAGAATCAAAAACCCAGCTTATATCCAAATTTTCAGAACGATTCAAAAACTGTCTTTCAAGAAATGCCAAATTTACGAATTTTCACAAGACTTGCATTTTAAGCGAAACTACTAAGTGTATCTTTTTGGAAATTTGGCTATAAGCCTAACTTTTGATTCTCTACAACTTTTCTATTGACACCAAATTGGGTTTCTTTTGAAGAAAGTGCTCAAACTGACAAACTGGGAAATCTCCAGTCCTCGATTTTTGAGTCTCACACTTGTCTCACACACAAACCAAAATCCTACTACGAAAGAGGAATCCGCAAATTGCCTGTAAATGGGCAGAAGTCGTCAATAATGGAAATTATTTGGAATCAATTCATGGTTTTATGTTGAATAAATTTTAGTTCAAAGTCCCGCAGTTTTCAATTCACCAACCCAATAAAATCCCACCTCAATGCCTGTTTCTTTCAAATGTAAGCGAGTGACTTTCACTTTCTTTGCTTGACTCACCTGGAAATCTTTGATTTTGACAAGTTTACATAAATTTTAGTTTATTTAATTGTTTAATTTTTAGTTGTTCATAGTTTTTAAACTTCAACTTACAATTTTTTTCTCAAGAACTTCATCACTTTCATTGATTTCAAACGAGAGAGTGATCGAGTGGTTCTAAACATTTGCAGTATTTTGAATTAGAAAACTTGACTCATTAAGTTTATTGTTATTCATTACCTTGTAAAGTTTCAGATTTCTCACAGATTTTTCCCATTCGGTGAAGTCAAAGTTGGGTGCTTTGATTGAAGGAGAATTGATCTGATTTGATAGGAAATTTCGTGGGATTTCGATGAGTTTTGGGTGTTGAAGAGACTGAAATTGATTAAATTGAGCTTTTTGAGAGGAATTTCTCAAAAATTTAAAATACAGGATCGTTTCTGAGAGTTTAATACCAAAAATTTGAACAATTGAAAAGAATTTAACACATTCTGCGGCGAGGCGTTTTTGCGTTACTGCCTCAGTGTCTCGCAAAGCTATTAGCCCCGAAATACACCTCCCTATATATAAAATTTCATGCTGAATCTGAATCTCTAATCAGATTTTGAAAATATTGCTGCCTCAAAAGATATCGGCTCTTTTTGGCTCGTGAGACAAAACGCCGCATTTCTCTTTCTCCAAGCGCAACCTTATAGTTCTTGATTAGAACTAATCGAATCTTTTTACATTTTGAAATTATCTTAAAAAGTTGAAAAGTTATAGCGCGTCAAAAATTTCGTCCACCGGTGGACCGAACCGCCCCAGGGCCTGACGGCCTTCGTCCACCGGTGGACCGAATCGTCCCGAACGTGTTAAATGAAGATTACCTGCATCTCGATGATTTGAATATCGCGAATTTTCGAGTGTTTCATCAAAAGATCAGCCAACGACGAACCGCTTTTCGAGATATTTCGTCAAAGAAGCGAAGAGTCGAGATTGAACTAGACATTTGCATTTCGGTCCGTTCGTCGATGGGTGTACAACGAAATTCACATCTTAAACCCTTTAAAATCGACTTTTTCAAGCGGTTTTTTCACTATTAAATAGAACTTGTAAAATGCTATCCAACGGTAAAAACGTTTGAAAAGATCGATTTTAAAGGGTTTAAGACGGGAATTTCCGTTATATACCTATGACGAACGGACCGAAAGGCAAATGTCTAGTTTAAAATCTTTCGACTCTTTCAACACTACAACAAGCCGACTACAACAAACCAACGGCTTTTCGACATCAAATTATTGAAAATCCCTCGAAAATCTTCTCCATTTGTTTCCCACGCGAAACCCTTCTGAAAACGTTAAAGTTTCTTGTGAAAGCACAAAGATTTTGAAATGTTTACCCCATAAATATCGATTTGACAAGTTGTGATTTGACGAGGGATTGGAGAGATCTAGAAAAAAGGAGATTTTTGTTTTCAACCTCAAAACCAACTCGATTTATTGCATATTTCATTGATCGATTTGTCCGTCGAATCCTCAAAGAATTGGAGTCGAGTTGAGTTGCTTGAAAATTGGTGCATTTAAACTCTCCGGGGGCAAAGAAATCCGGATTGTAGCTATCATCCATTTAACTGGAAACATTGAAAGATTATTTGGCAAATGAAAAAGAAGGAAGAGTTGGCAAAAGAAAGAATTAAAAGTGAGCAGATTCCCGGGGAGGGGATTGAACTCTAGACCTTTGCTCGACCCTGGAAATTGCTCTAATCGCTGAGCTATCCTTGAAGCGCACCTTAACTCGTCAAGAGAAAGAGGGGAAGACATAGTAGTAAAAGAAAAGGAAGAAAGAAAGAAAAGAAGGATATTTTTTATGAAAATCTTGAGCAAATGGGCTTGGGGAAAATTGTCTGTACTTTGAAAAAGATATGGACAATTTTATGATGCCAAGTTAATGAGTAAGAAAATACCTCTGGGAATCTTGAACTTCTAAACCAATTACCACT